TGGTCCCTGCTCTTGCCTGAGCAAGTACTTAGTCCACTGAGTTACCTTTTTTTTTTTTTTCATGTATTTAGAATAGGGTCTACAGGGTCTCATTACGTAGACCAGATTCATAGTGATCCTCCAGTTGTCAGCCTCCCAAGAGCTGGGATTACAGGCACGCACCACCACGCCCAGTCTCAATTGCCATCTCAGCGTGCCCCTGGGGGTGGGGCTGGCACAGCAAGCTGGAGATCGAACCCTGGGTGCTGCGCTCTCCCTAAGCAGGCACTTTAGTCCACTGAGCTATCTTGCTGGCCCTAAATTGTCTCTTTTCAAACTGAGGAGACAGAGGACAAGAAACGTAATGAGGGCAGGATCTGGAATATGAAGTATTGCCTGAAGTCAGCTATGGTGCTGGGACCTGACAATACTCTTATCATGTTATCCTTTTTGTTTGTTTTCATTTGGTTTTTGAGACAGGCTCTCACTGTGTAGTTTAGGCTGGCCTTGAACTCCTTACCCATCCTAAACTGGCCTTGAGCTCATGGTGATCTTCGTGCCTCAGTCTCCTGAGTGCTGGCATAAGCACTCACCACCACATCTAGCACTTTCTTATTTAGACATATTAATTATATTTTCCCTTATTCGATTATAATCTTATTTGTGGTCATTTTATGTTCACACACAGCACTCAAATAATGCTCATTTTAGACTGAAATCTCTGAGACTATTTCATTTAGGCTGATTTTAAATTATGTTCTATATGACAAATTATCATGCTAGATATCATATAGCTTGCTTAAGTACAAATAAACCATGGAAACTGATTCCTTTACTCTCCATCTAACAAATTTATCAAAGGAGGGATTTTACTAGAATAACATAACTCCATAAAAGGAGTTATGGGGGTAAAAACATGGCCTTTTATTTACATCTGGCATAAGGTAGAAACTTAATACATATTTTCCCCATTTTGCTCATGTTCAGAAACTTTGCCTAAGACTGAGATTAAGGGTAGTGGACTAATTAATTGGCAGAAGAAATTTCAAGGCAGTTGAATGTTGAAATGGTGACATGGCTACTGTTGGAGATTTTAGCCAGATTTATGCTGAGAATCAAGAGCAAAGAGGCCAGCAGAATGATTTAAAATACTGTGCTTGGCTTGAAAGGAAGCTCCAGTAAAGCTATGGACTGCAAAGGCAGAGCCCAGATCTTAATTTCTGAGAAGGAATAAGAGAAAAAGAAGCAGGACTCCAACCTTTGCAGCCTCAAAATTACAAAGGTGAAAGATCTTGCTTTGAGAACAGAACTACAGAGCACCATGTTCCAGAAGGGTGCTGACCTGTGGAAGTTGTTCCTCAGGATTTGGTTCATAGTCACTGGACCCCTCCAGCCAAGAGAGAAGGAGGGAGTCCTGGCCACTGCTCCAGCTGGCAGCAGACGTTGTCTCATCCATGAGTGCTGTCTCAGTTACTCTTCTCTCATTGCTGGGACAAATACCCGACACTCAAATTAGGGAAGGAAAGGTTTATTTAGCTCACAGTTACTGGAGGTTTCAGTCCATAATCAGCTGGGTCCAAGGCAGAGCAGCATATAGCAGAAAGCAACCTTTCATGGCAGAGGCAAAGAGCAAGAGACAGCCAAAGGGAATGGTAGCGGCAGCTCAGGCAGCTAACTTCTTTGCCCTCCTTACATTGAAATGCAAATTACCTGCCCCAGGGAAGGTACAACATCCATATCCACAGAAATCAGTCACAAACTCCAGAAGCCACCCCCTGACTGCATAAGGCTTTGGGGGGGAGGGGACAAACCATAACAGGTGCATACAGAATGGAAGAGTTGGGTGGGGGTCCTTGTGTTGTCAGAAAGGCTTCCATCCAGATTTCAGAAGAAAGTGTGAGGCCAGGCAGTGTGCCCCTGAGAGGGAAGTACATAAAGCTGTAAATGTGAAGCCAAAGGTGAAGTGGAGATTCCAGAAGTTTGGAGAAACCAGGAACGTGGCCCATCCAAGGAAAGCTGCAAGGAAGGAGCCGAGCTGGCCCAGGAAAGAAGCCATGAGAGCTACAACAACCAGAAGTACCGCAAGGACAAAGCCACCAAAGCCCTTTAAAATTCACCTCTTACCCAAGATTGCCTGGGATGCTGTACATGGAACCGTAGGACTCTCTGGATTTTGGACTGGCTTTTGTCCCATTGCTTTGTATCTGTTTGTAACTTTTGGAATGGAAATGTCTATCTTGTGCCATTGAATGTTGGAAGCGTTCAACTTTTTTTCATTTGTATAGGGGCTTAGAAGTAGAGTTTACCTTAAATCTCAGAAGAATCTTTTAGCTTGGATTTTTCTTCACTGTTGAACCTGTTAGGACTTTGACAAGTCTTGGAGGTGGACTAAATGACTTTTACATAAAGGAATTTGAGGCCAGCCTGAACTATAGAGTGAGTTACTATCTTAAAGCAAAGCAAAACAAACAAAAATTCTGCTTTGTGCTAGTGACATAGAGATTGTATAGGACCTCTAAATAATCCAAATAATATAAAGAAAACATAACTCCCTATCTGTTAGTCTGGTAGTTGTCTAATATGCTGAGTTATTTTTGTTTGTTTGTTTAAGACAGGCTTTCACTATGTAGTTCAGGCTGGCTGGCCTTGAATTTGCTGTGTTGCATAGGCTGGCCTTGAGCTCACTTTGATCCTTCTGTTTTTTCCTGCCATGTGCTGGGATTACAGGGTGCACCACAAGAAATCTGAATTTTTGTTCTCTAAAATCAAAGAGTGCATTCTAGGAACATGGGTATTTAATAGCAGAAAATATTTATATTGTCTAAGGAAAGATTCTGTATAATAGAGGCTGAAGGGGTCTGAGTAGGTTACTGGGGACCTCCCTTCACCCCAAGAAGTTTTATGGAGCAAAACCATAAGAGAAGAGGTGGGTCTAAGGTGGTACAAAACTATTATCAACTAATAAGATCACAAGTATGATCACTTGGGTAACATTGATCCAATGGGAAATTACAAGGTGGGTATAAGGTAGGACAAAACTATGGTTAACCAGTAAGATTATGAGTCTAATTGCTCAGGTAATATTGATTAAATGGAGATCAAATGAGGAAACAAGTCAGGTGGCAAGTGTACATGGAACAAATAGGACTTTTCCTGAAAAGGAGGCTTTGTTCCCCTGACCAAGGTGATCAATATCTATTTAGAATATCAATCACTGCTGTTCATCCCTAAGGGAAGTAGGTAGATATAATAATTCCATCTTGTCTTGAGGTCTGGCCTTAACATGTGCCTCTACCTACAGTAACAATGTATCTATACTGGTTCAGTTTGAGGCCCTGATCCTGACTGCCTATAATATTTCTACCTAACTTAGCTATCTATAATATTAGGATCAAAGTAACGTTCTCCAATTTTGTTGAAGATTGCATAACTTTTGGAGAGGATGTCTCAAGTTGAAAATAGTATAATTTTATGAATTGTAATAGTGTTGTGGGGGGAGGATTGGTTTGATTTTGTGTTTTGTTTTGTTCCTGGGAATTGACCCTAGAGGCACTGAGCTACATTCTCAGCTCTTTATTTTAACCCCCTACACTTTTTTTTTTTTTTTTTTCCTGGCTCAGCCTGTCCTGAGGGTGGGGCTGGCGTGGCATGTGGTGCCAAGGACCGAACTGTGGTCCCCTGCGCCTGCCTCAGCTTACCTAAGTAGGAGCTTTAGACCACTGAGCTATCTCGCCGGTCCCCCCCCCCACCGCCCCATTTTGAGACAAGGTCTCACCAAATTGCTGACTGGTCTCAAACTTGTTTCCTTTATATCTCAGCCTCCTGAGCAACTAGGATTACAGGCGTCTGCCTCTTGGCACTCAGTTCTATATTACTTTTTGATATTCAAGCAACGCGTATTAAGGGATGCAACTTGCAGAAAGTTGGTAGTAAAAACCTTAGAATTACTAAGACTTTCACTGGGAGCGTGAGGGAACCAGAGGAGGAACAGGGAAGGGATGTGAGGCTTTAACTAAGCCCCAAATAATTTACCATCGGCTTGGCCAAGTTTCTTTCAGGAATGTGAAGAAGTCATATGCACTTATCCCTTCCTGCATATTTATTTAAGCACCTATTCGTGTATGTTTTTTGGGACACAGCAGCAAGATACACAGGTCGAGTTCTCCAGGCATACACTGTAAACCGAGTTTGCATTCAAGGGCATTGTAATGCTAAATCGTGTATCCAAGACTAGGATAAATCGGATGAACCGGTCTGCTATAGGCCGCAGCAAAGTTCCTCACGTTAAAATTTCTATTCTTGGGTCGTAGGTTCTCTTAGTTCTGGTAGGCTATGCCAGCTGGCTTAGGAGAGATCACCCATCTAAATTTTACAGACTTGGGGCTGGAGAGATGGCTCAGTGGTCTAAAGCACCTACTTGAAACAAGCTTGGCAATGCACAGGGACCGCGGTTCAATCCCCCAGCACCACATGCCAGCCAGCCCTGATCCCTGGTGGGCTGAGCTGGCCACACACACACACACACACACACACACACACACACACAAATAAATAAATGTTTA